CACTCTCGTTCGCAGCAAGTGGGGGGCGTGGCGCGCCGCGCCCTCTCCCCCCCCCCCCCCTGCGTACGCCACTGGCGACAACTCTCCTAAAATCAGATCGATCTTCAAGAAGTTTATTGGACTACTTACCATCTGTGTATACTTCCAAAAAAAATTTGTTCGCCCATCTGAAGTTTGAAATCACCTTTTCAGGAAAGAGACAATCTGGATGCAATATTGTCCTCCAATCTCTATAAAATGAGTTCCAACACAATGTTTAGAAACTTTCTTTTGTTCTTTAAAAGCCGTTTTCATTCCTAATATGAGTAATTATCAGCAAAATTAAGACATGCTGTTTAGTAAAAAAAATTCTAATATAATTATTTCATTCGTTGCAGGATGCTCAACACCTCCTCGATCGAATGCTACTTATGAATCATCATCAATTAATCTTTCATTTTCTCAACTTTTTCATCAATCAAAAATTTTAACCAGTGCTGAACTAAAACAACGTTTTTCTCCTATAAAATCATCTATGAAAAAATGTCGACATCATCTTATTGAAAAAAATGATTGTATTGTACCATTAAAACGAAATCTTAATATGCCTGTGATATTAGAAAAATTATTTGATTATAAAGATAATTTATCAACTAAATCTATGCATGAAAATGATTGTATAGTTCCTATATTATCATCAAATTATTCTTTTATATCATCAAAAATAAATCATTCTCAACCTATTTTTGATTGTTTTAAATTTGATTCATTTAAAATTGAACAAGAAAATTTATTTTCAATATCTGAAACTACTATGAAACAAAAATTTCAAACATTATTACAACAAAAATGATTTTATATTATTCTTTTTTTGGGTTGTTTGTTTTGTTCTAATAGATTTATCTAGATGATTTCATGCATGTGTGTGCCTGTTTTTGTTCTATTAGATTTGTCTGATATATCTATATATATATATTTTTTTTTGTCATTTATTATATTTTGATAAAAAAAAAAGTAATCAAACATTTGATTTTTATTCATTTTCTATTAAAACCAATTTTTGTCGTAATTGTTGAAAGGACGGAAAGAATTAAGCGTAAAAAAATAATTAATATTCGATGAAATTTGAATGATTTAAAGAAGACGAGTTTAACAATCAGAGCAATCGATGTAAACCAGAGAAAATTTTGTAAACGTTTTAATCTAACAAGCAAAAACTAAGAACATGCAATTTGTTTTTTCTCTATAAAATTTTACCTTTGATTTCGTTTACGACATTGTGGCATATGCGCGAGATCTTCGCGAAGTAAATGCTGTTTAGCACCCAAACAATAAGTACGCCAATATTGAGACCAATCAAGATCTGTTACATCAAAATTAAATGTCTAAAATAAAAATCAACACTAATATGATGTTAATTACAAACGTATATTTTAAATAATATTAACTTCGAGATTTACAGGACAAAAACTAATCTGTTTTGTTTCGAAAACATTAAAACTATTCTCTATTGATGACGGATGGGGGAGGGGGGGGCGCTCGATACACTAAAAGCTGTCAGTGCAATCCTTGTGGGATTAAGGGCCCCCCCCCCCCCCCCCCCCCCCCCCCCCCCCCCCACCCGCAACCACACCAAGAAGAACCCCGAGCACGAGGGG